GGGCTGCCCTCCCCCCCCACGCCCCTCACTGCGCCATGGGCTGCCCGTCCGGGATGCCTGCTCTGGAGAAGGTCACGCGCACACGGTGCCATCACCGAGCAGAGCACGTGTAGCAGGTGTCACAGGAGGCGTCTCGTCGTGCTCTGAGACAGAGGCCGAGGCTCTGGGGGGTGGGGGGTAGGCTCTGGGGGTGACTTAGGAGCCTCAGCAGTGATGACAGCAGTAATGACAGTAGCCATCCTCGTGCCACTGCGTCACCACCAGCATCAACTGCAAGGGATTTGCACAGATGCTGACAACACAGTGTGTGCAACGTTCCGTGGATGCGAGGACTGGTATTTTCTGAAAAGTGTGATCGTGTTTAAAATGACTATCGCACAATCAGGCCCCAGAGCCCCATTTCTCTAAATGTGAGTGAACACCACAGTCAACCACCCACAAAACTGACCCGATTGGTTAATTATTGGGCCTGGAAGAGTTGGCTGGAGACGCCCTAAGTTTTTACAGGATACCAAGAAATACATTTTACTTTTAAAATCCTATACAAGCTCATTAAAATCGAATCAGACATATTCAAAATGTTACAAAACTCGCATTTAATCTTCTCTCTGTAATTTACCAGTATTATGTGCAAATAAACTGAAAAAAATAGGTCTTTTCGTATTCTAATACTATCGATGAGGTTTAAAATGGGAAAAGGATTTGTACATTTAAAAGTCATCCCAAATCTTTCTTGTAGATGTTTTTTAAATAAAACTATTATCTGAAATTCATACGGCGATCCCAGCATTTTACCTAATCATATAAATATGATTTTCCTCCAGCCGGAACCCCTTCAGAGTTCCAGGCACAACCGCCATTTCTGAAAAGTCTTTAGTAAACCCACGACTCCCCCATCCCAGGACACGTGTCGGGTAAAATTCATTTCAGGCACCGAAAGCACGCTTCTGGAACCCACGTGATTGTTGCTCGTCACCTAAACGACCTCCCCCAAACCCTACTTCTGCCCAGAAAGATGGCTGTTGACTTAGACGACAGAATCGGGGTTTCCGGGAGCCGCTGGTGTCTACAGCAATGGCCCCCCATTCTTCCTGACTCGCCCCCCTTCAGGGCCTGCGCTGTAAGATCAGATTCTCCCTTTCGTGTCTGCTTGCCTCTTCCTCCTCGCAAGGCCCTCCACTCTCTCCCTGCAAAGAGTGCTGCCCTTTCACTTTTTCTGCATGTCAGTCATGCCTGACTTAAAGCAGGTGCCACGGCCACGTGTTTATAAAAGTGTGTGTGGCCCAGCCAGTGTTGCTCAGTGGTTGAGCATTGACCTATGAGCCAGGAGGTCAGGGTTTGATTCCCGGGAGCGGCCATGTCATGGGCACCAGCGCAGGCACCAGGCGGCTGCACGCGGAGCTGCTGGGACATCACAGACCCTAAGTCCAAGGGGACTGACGAGGCGGAGGACGCAGACCTGAGGACGCTTCAGCGTTTCCTTAGGTGCGGTCGCCGGGGTAACGGTGCGGTTTCCGCTTTTTCTTTTTTTTTAAACAATTTTACAAATATTTAATTGTTATTTTTCCTTCTCTTCCTTCCTCCGTCCCTATCTTTCAATTTTTTAAAATATATTTTTGTTGATTTCAGAGAGGAAAGGAGAGGGCGAGGGAGATAGAAATATCAGTGATGAGAAAATCGTGGATCGGCTGCCTCCTGCACGCCCCCACTGGGGATGGAGCACACCACCCAGGCGTGTGCCCTGACTGGGAATCAAACCCTGACCTCCTGGTTCATAGGTTGATGCTCAACCACGGAGCCACACTGGCGGGGCTCAGTTTCATCTCAATTCCATGCCTCCACAATCAGTGGCAAACAGCTCGGTTCTGTGGCCGACGCACCCGGTCCAGAACCAAGACACCAACAGGTCCCACCAACCACATCCAGCCCCGCGAGGCTCATTCTCATCGTCACAGGGTGTGTGTG